GTCTCCCCCCCCGGCCGGAGCCCCTCCGCGGCTTGGAAAGCCTCGGGGGAAGCCGGCGGGGGGGCATCCCAGGCGCTCCTGGCGGCTTTGCTCCCGGTGCCTCTGGTCTGCTGGGGACCATCTCCAGCAGACCAGGGACACCGGGAGCAAAGGAGGCGGAGGGGCGCTGGGGTATAAGATGAAACCCTATCTTTTAATTAAAAAGATAGGGGGTCGTCTTATACACCCAGTCGCCCTATACGCCGGAAAATACGGTATTATGTTATATTGGATACCTGGAATTGATGGATATGTACATAATTTTTTTTAAAATTTCTAAGGTACATTTTCTTCCTTGCGTTCTTCTGTAAATAATTGATATAGTTTGAACTCAAATATTCTCTCAAATTATCCAGTTTTGGTGTGTCTGGACATGCTGGTGCCTCTGTGGTATGCTTCTTTACTAAGGTAACTTCACCTAAATTTGTGCTCCATTTTTTAATCTTGTCTGTCAGCAGCAAAATCAGCTTTGTCCCCATTACTTTGAGGAAGAGTAATAATTAGCTGTGCTCAGTGCTTTTTTTGTTAAAAAAAAAAAAAAGTGCCAATACTCCGGGGGAAAAGTTGTTGAACTCTGACTGGAAGTGCCGGTGCTGCGTACCAAGCAGTACCATCACAAAAAAAGCACTGGCTGTGCTAGTGCAAAGTTCTCACCCATGTTTTAATAAGCCCCAGTGTATGTATTGTTAGAGCATCCATTCTGATATCATATTGTACAAGTGATCACTTTGAAAGCTTTTGGTGTCATTTTTTTGCAAGTTATGTTGTTAGCTCCTTTGCTCTTGAAAGAGAAGAGTTATTTAGAGGAGCATTTTTAGAAATGGAAACTTCACAACATGAAGAAGAAAGCCAGACTGAACAGCAACATCTACACCCTGAGCAGATGCAAGAAATGAAACATAATCTCTAGAGAACTCACCCCCACCAACCATTGCCCTGTGAATCCTGTTGCCCCACATCCAGACTCCTAACCACCTGCCCTGGATCTCCCTGCAGAATCCCATTCCCGCTGCACCAGGAATCCCTCATTGAGCCCCTCTACAGAGCTGCCCACACTTAGATTGTACCACACTCTCTCAACCCCTCCAGGATTTCTCTACACTAAGCCCCTCTACACTTGGATCCTTCTGGGCAGAGCCTGCTTGTCCCATACCTGGATTGGGAGCCACTCTAGACCTGCACGTGAGACCCTTTCTCTTTTGCTTGCTATCTTGGTGCACCTGGCATGGAGAGACAAGTAGGAGCGGTTTGAGGTCGGCTGCGGCAGCTGGCGCCCCAGGCGGAACGCGCAATCGGCGCCCCTGCCTGCAGGGCCGTCAGTGGACTGACATCATTGGCCAGCGCCCTGGGTGCCCTGTGACATCATCATCGAGTGCCCCGGGCAGTGGCGCCCTAGGCGGCGGCCGAGTCCACCTACAGCCACAGGTCTCCCTTGGGGACAAATCCACGAAGTCCAGGTCCTAGAGAAGTGAAGGGGGGGATTGATTTCCCATCTCCATGTAACCATGTTCCCCACTGCCATTTTGGAACACCCACATTACTTATTGATACATAAGGTGAATTTTAAAATATTATGCTCAGAATTTTTATTTTTTAGTGAGCAACATTTTAAAAGTAATTCTTCAGCATTCCAGTCTTACAGATTCATTATGGGAGATGCATTTTGTAGGCTCCAGAAAAATGTGGCCTGTTCTATATTGTGAGGAAGCAGTATTACAGGGCATCTCCACTATAAGTCACCCTGGTATACATTTGTTTCGCAGTGGTGTCATTGACGCTTGTGGGAACTCTTCCATTTTAACTCCCCCATTCCCTACTCTTCTATTGCGCAAAAAAAGAGACCAATTTGTGCAAACAGAAGTCAGCTGTGGGAAAAAAGTTCCCCACTTTACGTCATTTTGCTATATGTCCACTTTTTTTTAACGTATCTTGGACATATAGTGGGGATGCCCTGTAGCTATTTGGGGGAAAATGTGCTTGTGAAAAATAGAGAGAGAGCAGTGTCGGAAAGGAGAAGTCAGCAAACAGCTCAGGAAAGATAGACTTGATAAATAAGCAAGAAAGATATGGACAATATTTTTCTTTTTTATATATTGAGCTAAGTTCAAGAGAAATAGTGGATTAGATTTTTTGTAGTTAAATATCTTATTTTTTAAATGAATATGCTTACATTGTTTTGGGATGTACATAGAATTTATCGGTGTTGCGTTGTAAGTGAAAAATACTAGCAGAATGGCTGTGCTTTTGTGAGAAGATACCATTTTTGTGATGTATGATTAGGGCTCCATTTCTGTTACAGAGGTCATGGACGTAACTGGTTCTGTGACTTTCTGTAACCTCCATGACTTCTACAGCAGCTAGTGTGGTTCATTCCAGGGCTGCCCAAAGCAGCTGGTTCCAGGGCCAGCTGTGCAGGTAGCTCCAAGGACCGCCACATCAACTGCTGCTTGGGTGGCCCACAGGTGTGGTTCCCAGGCAGGAGGCTGGAGCAGACACTGCTTGGGTGTCTCCCAGCAGTGGTCTCTGGGGGTGGGGGGGGCCCTGGAAGCAGTCCCAGGCCAGGTGGACGGAGCAGTTGCTGCTTAGGCAGCCCATGATAGATTGTGCCACCTTAGTGCCCCTCCCCCAGGAGCATCCCCACCCCTTACCACTGCCCTGGTATTTTAATAAAAGTTATGGTCAGGTCACAGCCATAACTAAATCATATTCTTACATATGACTAGATGCTTTTGGTAGAATCTATCTGTTTCAGCCCAAATGCCTGCATGTTGCTTGTTTTTGCCTAATCTTCAAGCATTGGTTTTAAGTGAAAAGAATGCAAATTGTCCTGTATACAGTTTAAGCTCAAACTTTTGGTTATGACTTTGGAAATTTTATCAGATGCTGGGGATAGTTATGAAATAGCTTTTGTTATCCTCAGTGCCCTATAATTGCCAGCCTCAATAGACAGCATAGAATTAAAGGGATCCTATTAGAAAAATGATCTGTTTTCTCTCAAATCTGTATCAAGATTGTATCACTTGGTTTCTCCAATTTTGGATCATAGATCTTAGCTCATTGGAGCAGAGGAAACAATGAGAAGTAAAAAGAGATCTTGATCCCAGGCAAAGATAGTCTATTCCAGGTGCATAAATGTTTGTTTATCTCTCCAGCATTTTCAAATTTTCTGCTTGCTTCTGATATGTGGTGGCTTCCTTTGTTTGTGTGGACTGTTTCTTTCTGGTTCATGGCATTGGAACAAGTTACTGAGATACATAGTAGAGGGCACTGCAAAGTTATTTTATAGTTCCCAGAAATATAGAACTTTAGTTTTCCAGGAAGATTGCTCTAAGTCTTGTTTTGTCTTCACATTTAATGAAAGAAATAGAATAGTTTGCATTTTTGTCATCAAGTGAACCTAAAATGGAATAGAATATAAAGAGAATGTATTCTACCAGAAAAAAAAGTACATCCACTTGATATTAGTTTAAGGAAATAAATTGAAAAGTGGCCAGCAATGGGCCCCAGGAAAGTGCTGTGTTTGAACGCCCTCATAAATAATGCATAGTATCAGTCAAAACAGGGTTAAGTCTCTCAGAAACATTATTAAATGATAAGTTTTAGAACCTAAAATTGTGCACAGAAAAATTAGGAAAACAAAGCACTTGAAAAAGAGGCATTGCTTCTGAAATGAGGAAAAATGACATAAGAGCACATGGGCACTTCATAATTAAAAGCATGCAGTTAAACTACAAGTTGAACTACGAGTTGAACTTCCCAAATCTGGAACTCTCTGGTCCAGCAACATTCGTAATCTGGAACGATACACAATGAATGTTGCCGGATAAGACATCCTGGAGGCGAGGCGAACGAGTCAGCTGGGAGCAGTGTTCCCTCTAATATTTTCTATCCTTGGACGAGCTGAATTTTCATTTGGGCGGATTGGAATTTCTTATGTGCAACACCAATATTAAGGTAGCATGTGAATGTTTACCGCCAATGAAAACAAAAACGCTTGCGCACGCATCCTACCTGGATGAGGGGACACCAGGAGGGCAGTTTGGGTGGAGCCTCAGGAGACAAAGGGGCCTCAAATTTTGACATTTTTCTACCAAGTCATTTCCATTTATTATATACCTTGCCAGTTACACACACAACAAAAGAAGCTATATATACCTTCAAAAATTGATTTAAATCATTGTGGGACTTCACTAATTTTTTGGTCACATCCAAGT